ATTTGGCAGTATGAACTGTGAATGAATAGAAATTTCTGCATCTGCCCCATCTACCATTTCCCCAGGGACAGAACAGTCACTACTCATGACTGCTTCCAGTGAGACCCCACACTTCACCATGTCAGAGAATTTTACAGCATTTGCACTTTCCCTATATTTCTAAGTAAAGATGATATCTCTTAGGATAAAAATAATGCACTTGTTTAGTAAATGGGGAGTGTAGCTAGGAGACAATACTGAGCCGGAATAAGAGGGTCTGAAATATTAAAAGGGCTGAGATAAGACCTGATTTAACATTCTGTGTAATCATACAAAGACAGAACACAGGTAAAATACATTTTTTCGTCTAACACTGAACAAACTAGAAAGGGCAGATTTAACATGGTTGCTTGTAATTTTGGCGTTACTAAGAGAAATGTTTGATGTATTTTTTTTTCTTCCCCCATTCTCCCCAACACAGTGCCAGAAGCAGAAAAAGTTTATAGTTGAGGTTTAATACCACTTTTTTGAGTATAAGCTCCATAATATAACAAATTTTCTTAAATCTTTTACTTGCATTGCACTGATTCATGCTGTATGTCTAGTTGCCACAACAATATCTTGTCGAGTGCCTGCTTAATTTTTACGGGTTCCTAATTTCTTTGTTTATATTGAAACTCATCTAGTTTTATCCCAAAGCTCTTTTCAAAATTCCTGCAAAAAAGCACTTTATCAACCAATAGTCTCTTACCTTTCAAATACGTACACGACCCTTATGGTGTAAGAATGTAATCTATTAGAGCAATAAAAGTTTCAATGCAGAACAATCCTAAGAAAAACATTTTTTATTAAATGTATCCATCTATTTAAGGGTACACTAGCATGTGTCCCTTTCAAACACTATCAATAAAGGCTCTATTTTTTCCTAGATACTTTACTACTTTTGCTTTCTACTCTCCAGAAACAGAAATCCCAAGAACTGGTACATTAATCCCATGGACAAATTTCTGGAAATTTTCTTGTTTCTAACAAGATTATTGTCATGTCAAATAGCAACTGGCTTTTTTGAATAAGAAAGGAGGTAAGGAGGCACTGTATTTCTGAATTGAGTAACATTTTGCTGACAATGATAGAAAAACTAATTTACTGCTTATAGGAAATCTTGTTTCACTATTTTCTAACATTAGGTTGAATACTTCACTTGTGGTCAAACATACCATGCAAACCATCTGATTCTTCTATTAAAAAATGAGTGAGTTCCTACAGGAATTAATAAAATACTCAGTTTTCAAGCCCACTGCCCATAGGGCCTTTATTGCATCTTGTTCAAGTAATGAGGCTGCATTTCAGTTGTGGGTAGAGTCAGCATCTTGTCCTTGCAGCTGAAATATATATGTGTGCACAGCATCCTTTTAGAAAATACGCCATTTAATTTTAATGTAATGAGTGGGATCTTTTCTGTCATGTGGAAGAGTGCTCCATTTAATGCATGCATTTTGACATATGAATCTTGACACTTATTTTGGTAGTGATGGGGATGTCGGACTACAGATACATGCAGTCTAACTGGTTAATAGCTTAATAGTAGATTTACTGCTGGGAGCTGCTCTTTCTGCAGGTGCCATCTCGATTTTTTCTGTGTCACACAATTAAAATCAAGCCTCAACGTTCTTTGATTACACTGAGAAAGTATGTTTGTTTATAAATAGTCCCTTTGAAAAGGTGCTGTTTAGTGAGGAATATAACATATTACCATATTACCACTCAACATTCCTGGTTGTGATAAGATAAAAAAAATAAAATGACAGCATAACAAATAAAAACCTCAAAAATTATAATTATGGTTCCTGATTCAAATGCTTATCATGTCCTCAGTAATTTTTTTCACATTGCTCTATGGTAAGATATTTCTGATTTCTCAACTGGGAAGACACTTAAACAACTTAGCAAAAATGTGATTTTTTCACCCTGAGAATTTCTTTGTTTGTTCAGACCAGATGTTAAGCTCAGCAGTAGTTTGTTTCCAATATTGTTAAGGGAAAGTGAGGATTCTTGTATAATGTGAGCAATCTCTTGATAAATGCTCCTTGATTCCAGGACTGGCAGTTTAAAGACCTGAGCTGAATGTCACCTGTACATTTAATAAACTTTTAAAAGTCATAAGCAGTTATCTTATTTCTTAATCCATCATGTCTTTACATCTTTATGGAAAAATCTGAAATATGGTTTGGTATTGAGGATCTCTGTGGCTGGTTTTTTGTTTGGCTTTGTGTGGTTTTTTTGTTTATCTCCATAAAGAAAAGAAAAGAAGAGAAGAGAAAAGAAAAGAAAAAAAACAAGAAAGAAAAAAATTCTTGTAGTGCCAGTATATACTCTCATTCACTGAAGATGCTAAAAATTCTTGTTTACATCATGAATGAATTCTGAACTATACCATGACACATATTGCTGGAATGACTGATTACAGACCTTTTTAAGGGCTCGCAGTCTATACTACTGCTGTCTCTGGACTCTGCTGCCTTTCTGGGCTCTGAGGAGTTTGGGCTTTTTTGCTTTCACTTCATTGCTTTCTGATCATTCTGATATCTTCTTTTAGTCTGCTAAATTCCAGTCACATATTAGGAAAAGATTTGGATCTTTTTCTGTTTGCAAGAATTATACTTTACAAGAATTATACTAAGTATAATCAGGAACAAATGAGTATTAATTGGCCTCAGACATATGTAAACTTTAAAATAGATATCTAATGTGATAAAAACGTGGATCTGGAACAGCGTTTCCATTAGTCCTATTTGTCTGGAGACATGCCTATTTATATAGACCATGTAACGTGATTACCCAGATGTGAGGAATGGAGGACATTCCCTCTGGTACTGTATCTGCTAGACCACTAGGAAAGTATCATGCCAGTTATGTTGTATCCTTGGATATCTGGTTATAGTGAAAGAGCTGAGAGAGGTTTCTATGCTGAAACTTTTCTTTAGAGGAAACAGATCTTGAGAAAATGCCTCAAATGCCAATGTTTGTGAAAGAGAATGTAGAAAAATAAATAAAATTAAATAATATAGAATAAGTAATGGTGACAGAGTTACAAAGTTACTGAAATAAGACGCTGCTGAACTATATGCCACAGTAGTAAACCAGCAGTGTAACAAGAAGTCAAACTCGGCAGGAAAATATCAGATCTATTTTCATATAGTCATAAAATATACCAAAAAGGAAGATGTCCTTCTACACTCTAAGTTTGAACCCACACTGAGTACTACATCCAGCTGTCTTAGTTAGGACAACTGGGACCAGTTCATCACTGGATGGGTGTAACCCAAAACTGTGTATTCTATAGCCTTCCATACCGTTTCCCAGAAACTGTTTTCAATAGACTATTTATACCCTCTGCCCATACAGCCTGACTCCTCAGGCTATAAACTAGGTGTTAAGAAACCTGCGAGATAAGAGGGTGCCTCCCTGTTCCTCACACCCTTTATGAAACTCCCCGCCCTGAGGAAAGTACTGGGCATTCCTGCTTGAACTGGAGAATATATAATCTTGGAGTTTTGGAACTTTTTTAACCACTCGTGGGATCCAGAGGAAGACTGCAGATCACCGCTCTCAACTAAACTGCAGACCACCACTCTCAACCACCACTCTCAAGCAGACTGAGACCACCACCCTCAGCTGGACTGCAATCACCACTTTTGACCGGACTGCAGCAACGCTCTCACCAACAGGTTTTCCCCCTCTCCCTTTGCTCTGGACTCAGGGGACCCAACTAACACCACTCTGTTCATGCCCCAGGGTGCTGGGTTATACATTTGGGTTTTGTGTGTTAAAACCAATTGTTTGTCTGTATAATTGCACTTATTGTATTATTTTATTAAATTGTTATTCTGACTTACAATCTCTCTTTTGGGTTGAGTTCATTTTTCCCCTGCTGGTTTACCTTTAAACCAGCACATCAGCTCTGAGGACTCCATCATAAGAAGGACTTGGACCTGTTGAAATGAATGCAGAGGAGGGTCATGTCCAAGGGCTGGAGCACCTTTCCTATGAAGACAGGCTGAGAGAGTTGGAATTGTTCAGCCTGGAGAAGAAAAGGATGTGGGGTGACTTTAGAGCACCTTTCAATACCTTAAAGAGGCCGCTTATGCTGAAGAGGGAGTTTTTACAGGGCCATGTAGTTATAGAACAAGAAGTAATCGCTTGAAACCAAAGGAGGGTCACTCTAAATTAGATATAAGAAAGAATTGTTGTACAATGAGGGCGGTAAAACACTGGAGCAGGTTTCCCAGAGAGGTAGTAGATGCCTCATCCCTGGAAACATTCATGGTGAGGTTTGACAGGACTTTGGGCAGCCTGATCTAGTTGAAGATGTCACTCCACATTGAAGAGGGATTGGATCAATTGACCTTCAAAGGTCCCTTCCAACTTCTTCCTTCCCCCTGCCCCAAACTATTCTATGACTCTGTGAAATAGCATAAGCTAGTGTCATAATTGTCAAGTAAAATGTATTTGAAGAAATATCTCTCCTTCTGTGTGAGCAGTCATGGTTTCTGTATTAGAGTTTAACCAAAGCATAGAACTCAGACGTTTGATCTGAATATTGGCTATCAATGTTTCTGCTTTTCTTTTTTTTTTGCCCCATTTTTTCTCCTACAGTTTGACTGCCTCATTTCTGTGGCTTCACTGTACATTATATTTTCACTAGCAAAACTTTTGAGAAGGGTATAAGGCATGTGCTTTTAGTAAGAATATGCCTTTTTGGAAATCCTGGCAGTCTTTAGGACAGGGTGTGACAGGGGAGGACAGAGGGAGTTTTTGTTTTATTTTTAGTGAAAAGTACACACTGAAAGCCTGGCATACAGGTCATAAAAACTGAACTACCATTTCTTGTGTATCCATATCATAACCTTGCTTCCAGGGTATATCTTCTTTTTTTGAACTATTCTTTACTTTGTGAATAGTTTTATTTTATTGTATATTATTTTATTTGTTGAGGGTTGTGTTTTTTATTTCCTTATCAGATTGATATGAAGATAAACAGTTTGAATGAGGGAAGTAGTGGAGGACTTTCACCACAGGTGTGAAAAATGAGCAGTGCCAACCTGGTAAGTTTTGGGGTTTTATCTACTGGTTGTGGTTTTCCCATTGGTGTTCTCATTTATGTTTGTAGCAAGATCTCAGTTGCTGTTGGTTAATTCTTGATGTAATATTTCTATGTTAATGTCTTAAACTTTGTCTTCTGTGTTAACAAGACACAAGTGCTCAATATCTCAGTTACATTTTGAGATGCAGCTTTGTCATGGATTCCATGATTCAGTCCTCAACCAAAGTAGTTAGCACATAAAATTATTTTATAATCCTTTTAGGCGTGTATGCAATGTTCACATATTTTGCCCAGTCTTTTCAGGACTAGATTTTGCAATTTAAAAAATTTTATGAACTGAGGGGTCTGTTTTTAAAATGTTATTTTTCTACTTTATTTATTTTATCAATGTTGTGGTTTAGGAATGGCATTCTTAACCACAGCCGTTCCTCCCACCATCCCTCAGGGGGGAGACAAAAGTCAAAGATTATAGGTTGAGATAATAAGAATTATTGGAAGAAGTAACAAGATAAGAAAAAAGGTAACAGCAAGAATATTAATACAAAAGTGTACAAAAGAGGGTGATTTACATGCAAAAATGCTCACCAAGCCTGGGAATGAAAAACAATGGTGGATGGACCCTCTGCCCACCACACTTTTCCCTGACCACAAGCCATGCCTACCGTCTTCTCAGAAGCCCTTACTGCCACCCTGCAGCAGTGAGATGGTACAGAATAACAGCCTAGACATGATGACACACCCCCAGGCTCCATCCCCTCCCAGCTACTGTGAAAAAAATAACTCTGTCCTGGCTGAAAACCAGGCAAATTAATTATAAAAAAACCAACCAAACAAACAAAAAAACCCCACAACCAACAAACAAACAAAAACCCCAAAACCAAAACAAAAACGCAAAACAAATAAATGAAAAACCTCAACCAACAAACAAAAATCCCCCAAACAAACAAAAAATGCACAACAAACACAACTGTTCTAGAGGTTCAGATTCTAATTTTAAAGCAATTACTTACTCCAGTCTTATTCTAACAAATGTTTGCTTTGGGTGAGTTGTCCTTTTATAAAAGACCAATTTGCAAAAATTTTTTCCTCTCCAGGAGAAAGTCAGTGCAATCAAAACAGTACTATCTCTTTTGACAGAAAAAGTAGTTTGAAATGTTTAGAGACAATAGTGTCTATCTGCCCAAAGTAAGTGGAACCAGCCCTATTATTTTTTATACACTAACACGTCAGCATTACACACAACCTTTAGCTAATAGGGTGATGGGAAGTGGTAAGATAGTCTTAGAAATTAAAAAATAATTGCAACATTTAATAGAGTAATGCTTTCAAGCTTATAACCTGAAAATATACCCCCCCCTTCCGTCCAGTGTCAGAGATCTGATACAGTGTAAGACCTTGTGGCCTAAGAATGTATTTATATATTAAATTTATCAGCAAAGAGATACTTAATAAGGAGTTGTAGATTTCTGTCAATACTGGTTTTATCTGATCTCCAATTTCATATATGTGTGTAAATGTACTCACTTATGTATCTATGCATGTATTTTTCTATCTATCTACCTATCTATCAATCTATGATAAAGGGATGATATATATCCCTTATTTAAAGGTAACATAACAGTTTTCTGAGTTTTACTATCACTTCTGACAATTCAATCAGTAATACCTCACCATTGCCCTACTTTGAAAGCATATCATATGATAATAAAAAAGAAAAATCAAAATTCTTGAAAGCTGTTGTAACAAGCCTGAAAGAAAGAAAGGGAGAGCAAGCTGGGGAAAATCGTCCTCTCCTGTTCCCCTCACAGACTGGGTTCATAAATACCCAGAGGTAGGTAAGGGCAGGAGAGCAACACTGAATACACATCCCAAATGACGCTCATTGTCCTTGTTATCATGTCCTTGTTATGGCACATTATCATGTCATAACTGACCACACCCCCACACCCTGGGAAAGGACCCTCACCCTGCTGTCCCTTACCCCCTGCATGTGGTGTGAGGTGGCATCAAATAACCCCAAACCCCATCAAATCCTGATCGTGCCTCTTCTGCCCTTCTGGTGCCTGCAAAAATTAACCTTGTCTTGACTGGAACCAAGACACTTCATCAAAAAATGAAGGTCATTGACTTTCTTGTGATCACTAGGAGGTGGCAGAGATGTAAAAAATATTAATAAAGAAACACAAGGAATATTGCTTTATGACTTATGAAGAATATTTCCTTTCCTCTTATATCAACTTACTTGGACTGTTTGAGCTCTTCAAACTGAATTGTAAGTCCATTAATATTGTATCACTGCTGACTCAAAACCACCTCCTGTCCTATAAACGCAGTCAGTGTCACTTTCATTTTTGACTGACTGTGATTTATTTTTTTCTTTTGCTGAGTCCCCAAAATCTCACTAGGACTACATAGTGGTATTCACAATTTGTCTCCTTATGCGTTTATGACGAAGTTGCTGATTCTCAAAATTGTGCATAAATGCAGTGGAGGATGGTGTACTGTGGGTTCATGCAAGAGCTACTTTTAATTGGGTGCATTTGTCTTGCTTTGTTTCTGCAGGTCTGAGAGTGCTTTTTGATCCAAGTTTAGACTTTCCCCAGAACTTGGGATTTTCCTATCTTAACATCACCACCTATTAATCGTGTTTCAGGTAGCACAGGAATAGAGTGTTTTTTCTTCCGTGTGTTTGAATTGCCAGCTGTTCAGTTATCCTTGAAACTTTCTACCCTCCAGAAAGTGAAAATACATCTAGAGGGTATCTTTAAAGGAGAAAAAACCTGTAATTCTTTTATGTAGAACAGATAATTTTTGTAAACTTGCCTGCATGCCTCATTTTAGGGTATGTCTAGAATGTACCTTTTAGAATTATTTTGAAAAAAAAATTGAATATTTTAATTGTTTTAGTCTTCTGAAAACTTTGTATCTTTTACAGTTAGATGAAATTAGTGCATTGGTGAATAACAATAATAGTAAAACAATCTTCCTCTAGCTAGGTTTCTGCTTTGATTCCCATCAGATATAAGATTTTTAGTGGTTGGTTTGTTGGTTGTCTGGTTTTTATCCATGAGGGTGATTAGATACTGAAGCAGATTTCTCAGAGAACTTATGAGATATCTGTCCTTGGAGGTGTTAAAGAATAAATTAGACATGATCCTGAGCAGCTTGATTTAAGAAGACCTTAGAGGTCTATTCTTTGAGAGGAAGGTTGGACTAGATGACCTCCAAAGTGTACTTCCTTTCAAAATCATTCTGTAGATTTGTGATTTCACAGTTAACATTATCCCCAAGAAGTAGGAGCAAAGTCTTATCAACTGTTTGTCTTATATTCAGTAACCACTTCAAGGAACTAGTTATGAAATTTTGATGAAACTCACATGAAATGTCAGTAGATTTAGTTTGAGGAAATTATCAAGGGACTTAAACTCTGAGGAAAAGTGGTTCAGCTTTGAGAAAACCACATGCTCTTAGGTATCAAGATTTTGCACAACCGTAAACAAACTTTGTATATAGATATTTGAAAATCTGTTTATGCATTGGCTAAAATCCTTTGGGAAGTCTGAAGTTGAGCTAAAAACTGAACTGCAAACATCTAAGATTCCCTCTTATTTCTGTTTTAGTCTGGTTCTTGCTGTCATCTTTTCCAAAGACAGCTTATAGTAACTGATATGCAATTTTAAAAGTTAGTAGTATGGTTAGTTTAGTTTATAGCTGTACTTGTTTGTTGTTTTACCTAAAGGAAACCAAGGAAGACTTTATGGGTGTTATTTCTTCACTTTCCAAGAGCAGAATAGTAGAGTACTGTCTTAATGTCATAGCTACAATGATCAAGGCAGTAATTCATCCTTGGCATAGTTTACTAGAAGTCAAAGAAATTGCATTAGAGATTAACCTGGCCAATTCACGTTTAAAGGAAACATAGAGTAATTTGATTGAAAAACCATCCCACACTGCAAAAGTGATTCATTACTGGAAAAACACTAGTCTTAAAAGCAGTGCCGCCAATAAGTCATGGAATGGGTAGAAAGTATTAATATTGACTCTTTAAGCCCTTATTTTTAGATACTTCAAAAGACCATCTAATTTCTGTCACTGTTTTCTCTTCTTGCCTGTTAACTTTTTTCCTGACCTTTCAGCATTTCTAGAACACCTTCATTTAATAAGGAATTCATTTGCAGCTGTAACAGTTATTTATGGTCATCAGCTTTTCTGCTATCAATATGTTTTTAAGCATGTTAGTTGGAATGGGAAAGAAAAGATGATTTGGGGAAACTGCATACTATAATTAAGTATAGCATATTATTTATTTTTGTAGTGTAAAAAATTACTATCAGTTTTGTGAGCAATATTTCAAACATACTCTAACATTAAACATTACTAGGAAAAATCAGAAGTTTTCTTCTTAATATATCTATGGTCTTTTGACATACAAAAAATTTGTGTGACATTACTTTAGCAAGCAGTATCATCAAGATGAAATCTCGTCTGTTAATTCTACATTCTACTCTGAGAATATAGAAGTAGTAAAGTTAGGTGTCTTTCCACAGGTATAGGCACAGTTTTATAAATAGCTTTTACACAGGGAAGGAACCTATCTAAGAAAATGCTGTCCTGAGCTGGTTTTTATTTATACCTTGCCTCCCTTGTGTTGTTCTGGCTGGGAAAAGGTTCCATTTAGTGTGAAGGCATTTCCCAAAACCAAATGTTACTGTGATTCTTTTGGGTATTCTAAAATTGTACCCTGTCATTAGTTGAGATGAAGTACAAATAGGACTCAAGAACAGTAAATGTTACTGGACCTACCATATCACATCCCTTAGCTGAAAAAAGCTGGGTAAGTCTACTTGACTATATCTGTACTAACTATATCAATATATCTCTTCAAAATCAGATTAAAATCATTTACCTACCTCCATGTTCAAGATCTCCTTTTATTCCCATATTGGTAAACTGAGTGGTGTTTGATCTAACTCTGGAATAAAGATGCATGTCCTATTCATA